ATGAGACACATAGTCCTTTCTCCCTGGTCCTGGCCCAAATATCCTTCCCGACATGGTATTTGGATGAGCAGTAAATCCTATGGATTCCCAAGGAATCTAGTGCCATTTACAAGAAGTGTCAGTCTCTCTGGTGCTTGGCCATGACTTACTGCCAAAGCCCACACTGCTGCTTCCAAATCTTTCTGGAGCTATAAAGGGCTCATAGTTCTGATTACTAACACATTGAAGCAAGGGCCTTGCATGCCTCCAGGAAGTGGCAGTATGTGAGGAAATGGAGGATTTCCTGATTAAGAGGCCTAGCCAATTGAAAGGTCTTCACTCCTGGGACCTAACTGATCTGCTGGGCTATTTGTACAGAGCTGGTCTTTGGCTGGAATCACCTACAATGGTCACTGTCTCTATCTTGGAGCATGTTCACCCTTGGACATTATGGGATGGCTACGTAATTCCTTCTGGGAAAGCTGAGCTAGCTGGGAGGAGGGGGAGGGAACCCCAGGGTGTTGCTTAGGTGCTGGTGATCCTAGAAAGGGCCCCTTATTATCACACTTCCCCCTGCAGTGTCCTCACCCTTGACCTGAATCCACTCTAGAGAGTTTTTCAAGTAACTGTCTTAAAAATGTTCCAAGAGGGATGTGGATACAGCTCAGAGGCATGAGCACCTGCCTGACAAGTACAAGATCTTGAGTTCAATTCCAGGTACCAAAAAACAAAACAAATCAAAAGAGTTCAATGAACTAAAAGAAGAGGAAGAGGAAGGCAGGAAAGTGAAATAGAATGGGAAGGAATAGACAATCTAAATGGAAACAAAAAATAATTGTAAAACCAGAGAGTTAAAAGGTGTTTAGGCCAATTAAAAAGATGGAACTTGAGTTTGCTGTCTTTTCTGAGTGTCTAAATAAGTAAACTAGGGTGTTCATATGTTTTCACAAGAAAATGGTTTTATTTGAACTATCTTAGAGCATTTCAACAAGCCAAGATGAAACTGAATTTAAGGTTTAGAATCTTGAGTTTGTACCTGCATCCTTATACAATTAGTTAGGAAACATTTGCCAGA